CCCTTAAAGGGAACATATAAAATATCCCAGGGCCTACCTAGTTTACTTACTGGGTATGCTGGCCACAAACCCTAAACCCTAAACCCCGAACCCTAAACCCTAAACTATCCAGCACCTTCACGTCAGCATCCGCGGTGCCTGCCCGGGCAGCGTCTTCCTGCACTCAGGGCGACTGTGGAGCCAGGAGCGCTGAGGGTTCAGGAGATGAATTTCCAAAAACGGGTTTAGGGTTTAGGGTTTGGAGTTTAGGGTTTGAGGCTTATAGAAATTGATCGAAATTGTATAGGGTTTGCGTGCGGAGTTTTGTGCGGTTTCTCCTTTTGCTTTTGGCTGAAACAGGCTGATTTGGCGCAAAAAAGCTGAAGAAAAAAACACGGGCTTGTTCGGGTTTTTTCAAGCCCTCACCGGAAATCCCTAGGTTTTTGGCCTTAGATTTGGGCTTGTGAAAACTTAAGGGCTTCTGTAAGGCCGCCAAACTACCGACAATCCCTGCGTTTTTGCCTGTATTGAGAGTTTCTCAAGGCCTAAAATGGCCAAAAATCACAAAACAACAATTGCTATTTCGGGGGTGTTCGAAGGCCGATTTTTTTGGCTTCCAAAATGGTCAAAAGTCAAAAGTCCCAAAAAGGCTCCTAAACTGGCGAAAATCCCTATGTTTTGGCCATCATTGAGGATTTGTGAGCCCTAAATGGTCAAAACATGAAAACTTGCCAAAAGGCCGCCGAACTAGCAAAAATCCCTACGTTTTTGCCTTAACTGAGGATTTGTGAAAGCCGAAAAAGGTCAAAAATGAGTTCAATCACCCAAAGTATGCCAGGCGTGTTCAAGGCTGCTTAAACTTGGGCATTTGGTTGGTGAAAACACAAATTGGTCAAAAACCACAAAAATTTGCCATTTGGGTGGTTTCCCGAGGCCGACGAACTAAGAACTGTCCCGGTATTTTGGTGCTGGATTCTGGATCACGGGTTTGTGACATGTTGCTTTGGCCCTAGATTGGGAGTTTGAAGAGGAGCAATATGGCCAAACATCACTGCTGTTGGTTGTTGTTCGGAAGGCACCATTGTGCTTGGTGAAGCTACTGTATACAATTTCGGTTTCTACAGGTCTTGAGGGTTTAGGTTTAGGGTTTAGGGCTTAGTGGATAGTTTGCAGCCAGCTGCAGTAGCGGAAGGCAGAACCCCAAACCCTAAACCCTAAACCGCCTAAACCCTAAACCCTAACTCTAAGATTAGTTGTATTGTGGGTTTTTGATGTGGTCCCTTGCTTCATTCAAGGGTTCTGAAGTGTGGCCCTTGCGTTTTGCAGGGTATATGAGAGGCATAAGGGGTCCCCTTTGAAGGGCCCATACTTAGGGACCCTGAAACCCTAAACCCTAAACCCTAAACCCTAAAGCTGAAGGCGAGTAGTGGTAGACAGCGACATTCAGGCAACAACAGTAACAGTCCCAACGCAAAGCAGCCCTTAGGTTTGCGGGCTGAGGGTGTAGAGGCGCTTTAAGCGGGAAGTTTAGTACCCTAAGCGCTTAACCCTAGGGTTTAGGGTTTAGGGTCTAGGGCTTAGGGTTTAGGACTGCGCCCTAAAGGGTTTAGGCTTTAGGGTTTCGGAACCTCATGAACAGCCAAAACACTGAAAGAGTACTAACACTCTAAACCCGAAGCCCTGAACCCCAACGGCTTGAGTTCGATCGTTTCAAAGTCGTCGGGGAGGGAACCTTTTGAACCCTCAGCCTCAAAACCCAACCAAAGAAAGTTTGAAACCCTTAAAGAGCCTTTAACAAAAAAGAACAAAGCACACGCAAACTCACACACACACACACACACACACACACACACCCGAAAGGCCTCATGCAAACCTCAAAACCCGGCCTCGCCGGGGACCAAAAGTCCATGTCATCGTCGAGCGGCCCCTGTTCCTGGCCGTCTGCGGCACAGGGCTTTCTGGGCTAGTCTGCCCAGTAACCAAGGCTGAAAAAGGGTGCCCTTTTTTGCTTAAAGGGGTTCATAAGGGAACCTGAACACCCCAAAAAGGGAATAAGGGTACTACTGGGCATCGTAGTGGGGGCAACAAATGCTTAGGAGCTTTAGGGCTTTTGGGATTAAGGAATTAGGGCAACAACAGCTTAGGGTTTTCACTAGGTTTTTACGGCTTTTGGGGGCTCTTGGGGCGTTTTCCGGTGAAGGGGTTATGGAGGTTTAGGTTTTGAGGGCTTCCCCTAAACTTGAACTCTAAGCCCTAAACTGCGGGTTTCAAGGGGTTCTGGAACTCTCCCTAAACCCTAAACCCTAAAGCCGAAACCCTCACCAACATGGGTCGACTAGAGCACCTGAGAACCTTGAAGCAAGTTTCGAAAGTGGCGCCACCAACTGCAGCAGCTGTTGGATAAAACCGCCCGAGCTAAACCGCGCAAAAAGCAATAAACCCTAATCATGAAGTAACAAACACAAGGCTCGACATGAAGCACATAACCCTAAACCCTAAACCCTAAACCCTAAACCCTAAACCCTAAACCCTAATCATTAAGTAGCAAACACAAGGCTCGGCATGAAGCACATAACTGAACTAAACCCCCCTGAACCCCAAAAAACCTACACCCCGTCCCCTCTAAACCCCCCCAAAAACCCCCAAAGCTCCCAAACCCCCTAAAAATTCCTGAAGCCCCCCAAACCCCCCAAACCCCAAACCCCAAGCCCTAAGCCCTAAGCCCTAAGCCCTAAGCCCTAAGCCCTAAGCCCTAAGCCCTAAGCCCTAAGCCCTAAGCCCTAAGCACTAAACCCTAAACCCTAAACCCTAAACCCTAAACTCCCCCAAGCCACAAAGCCGCCACAAAGACCCCCAGAGGTCCTTGGGTGTTCCAGGTGGCGAGTTGCTGGTCGCTTGCCTTGGGCTGAAATTCCCTACACTCAGGGTTTCGGGGTTTAGGGGTCTAAGGGGGGTTTAAAGAGGGGTTTAAAGGGGGGTCTAAGGGGGGTCTAAGGGGGGTCTAAAGGGGTGTAGGGTTTAGGGTTTAGGGTTTAGGGTTTAGGGTTTAGGGTTTAGGGTTGAGGGTTGAGGGTTGAGGGTTTAGGGTTGGGTTTCGAAGGGGGGGGTAGGGGTTTTGGGGGTTGAGGGGCTTTTGGGGGCCTAAACCTTTGACACCCCAAACCCTAAACCCTAAACCCTAAACCCTAAACCCTAAACCCTAAACCCTAAACCCTAAACCCTAAACCCTAAACCCCAAACCCCGAACCCATTCTCAGCCACGGGACACCACCTGTGCCGCGGCCGCCTCCTCGCGTGCGAAGAGGGCCTTGCTGGCCTCCGGGGCTGATTAGGGTTTAGGGTTTAGGGTTTAGGGTTCAGGGTTTAGGGTTTAGGGTTTAGGGTTTAGGGTTTAAGGTTTAAGGATAAGGGTTTGAGGGTTTGCTTGTTTTTGGTTGCTGGGCAGTTTTGCAGCCATTAGGGTTGAGGGTTCCACACCCTAAGTGGAGATTTTAGATCAAGTAGATCAAGTTCAGGGTTCGGAGGGTTTAGGTGTTTAGCGTCCGCTCAGGCTACCGGGACTGCCTGGGACCTCATGGCTCCTAACCCTAAACCCTAAACCCTAAACCCTAAACCCTAAACCCTAAACCCTAAACCCTAAACCCTAAACCCTAAATCCTAAACCGTGGCTCTGCCCCAAGCCCTTAAACCCAACCTCCACCAAAACCCCTGAGCCCCCTACAACCGAAACCCTTGAGCCCCCGAACCCGTTAAATCCCTAAATGCCCTGATCCCCCTGAACCCTAAACCCTAAACCCTAAACCCTAAACACCAGCAAGCGCCTCCAGCTGTAGGAGGAGCTTGTCCGCATCCACCTCGGGGTTTTCAGGGCTACGGTGCGATTGAGGTTTGGTTTAGGGTTTATATAGGGTTTAGGGTTTAAGGTTTAGGGTTTAGGGTTTAGGGTTTAGGGTTCAGGGTTTTGGGTTTAGGGTTCAGGGATTTAGGGCTTCGGGTTTTGGGGGGGTTTGGGGCTTAGGCTAGCCCACCCCACACCGAAGGTGGGGAAACACATATGCAAATAAATAAATTAATACATTAATATATTAATATTAATATATATATATATATATATATGTACTTATATTTTTTATGTACGCTGAATGATAGAAATAAATACGTACATCGATATATATATATATATAGCCCTCAAACCAATGTGGGCAGGCCTTGCCGGAGGCATGGCGCACGCCCACCTGTCAAGTTGACCAGGCATGAGTGACGAGACTGTAAGGCTTCTTCCAGGGGTTAAGGGTTTAGGGTTTAGGGTTTAAGGCTTCGGGCCGGAAAGCCTTGTGAGTACCCAGGCTTCACAAGCCCTATAGCCCTCCGCCCAAGACCCTAGCGAGCATCACGGATCTGCAGTGGGTTGGAAATAAAAGAGACTGTCTGAGAAACCCGTTTAAGGGTGGGTCTAGGGCTGAGTTGTCTTGGGCCAAAGTAGTTCCTATGGAGTACCTTCTTTGGGGTCTAAGATAGCTTTACCCTGAACCCTAAGCCCTACCAATGACGAGGTAAAGCTTGCAACTGTTGGGTGCCAATGCTGAGCAATCCGGGAAGGTATGTTGGCAGGTTGCTACCCACATGAGTTTTTGGGGAATCTGATCTGTGCAAGGGGTGCCCTGCACTGCAGATCCTGTAGCTTGCAGCATCCCACATGACATGATGTAACCACCCCTGAGCCCAGCCAGAGCTACAGCTACCCTAGTTACAACTCCCAAGCCTTAAGCCCTAAACCCAATCACAACTATCACTTATAACCCCGAGATCTGACTACCCAAGAAGCCACCCGGTTTACAGGGTTTTTTCGGGCTTGCAACCCGAGACCCTAAACCTTTTACCCTAAACCCTAAACCCCCAACCCTAAACCCCAAACCCTAAACCCTAACCCCCCGCCCCCCCCCCCCCCCCCCACCCCCCCCCCCCCCCCCCCCCCACCCCCCCACCCCCACAACAAGCTCTTTCATGGCCTTGGAAAGGAGTCAAGCCGCCTCGACGCGCTCCTGCACATGAAGACCCGTGGGTAGTTTTGGGTAGAGTTTAAGGGTTTAGGGTTTGGGGGGGAGGGGGGGGGGGGCTCAGTCTTGGGATTTAGGGTTTAGGGTTTAGGGTTCAGGGTTCAGGGTTCAGGTTCAGGGTTCAGGGTTCAGGGCTCAGTCTCAGTCTCTGTGGCATGGAAGGTCTCGAGGGTTTAGGCGTCGCAAGGCTCCGGGCTTCATACGGGCAGTCGAGACGGTTGAAACCCCAAAAGCCCGGAACCACGAAAGCCTTCAATGCGGTTCTTCGGAGGGAAATGAAGGTTCATGTAAAGGATATCTAGGGGAACGTGTGGTAGCAGATTCCCTACTTCCCTACTCAGCTTCAGAACTAGTATAATGAGGTCATATGGGTTTTGGGGACGTCTCGTTTCTGACAGCTTGCAGAATGCGGCGTTCACAAAGTAGGGGTGCGCTGACCCGGCAGCATCTCTCTGGAAACCCAACACCCTAAACACCAAGAGGTAACGTGCTGGGGTTCTCCAGTGGGTTCTATTTCATCTCAACTGTGCGCAAGATCCCAACCCTGAACCCTACCCCTAAAACCCTAAACCCTAAACCCCACCGATCCTTGCGATTGAGGTCGATCCACGTGGGAATCCTGAGAGATACATGATGGCCCTGCTTTGGTCTCCAAGAGCAAGCCTCAACCCCATGAACACCGATAAACCCTGTAAGAGCTAGAAGGCCCTATAAACCCATGCAATCCTATAGTATAAGCCCTGTAAATCCTATAAACCCTTCGCCCCTTAAGCCCATAGGAGCCCATCCGCCCAGGGAGCCCCCCCCCCCCCTTAAGTTGACAGAAATGCTCCTTAAGCTATTACATGGGTCCTAGCAACGAAATGCGACATAAGGACATTTTATACTGAGGGTTTGGGTGTAGGGTTAAGGGTATTGCTCGACTACCGTCAGCCCTTTGGGGTATGCGTGCACTCCCCAAAACGAACATGGAACCCCAAAAAGGACCCCGGCGGTCTTTGCGGTGGCCCCGTTTGGGGTTGCTTTCGGGCCACTGAGCCCTATAACCCCCCCAAACTCCTAAAAGCTCCTAAAGCCCCAAACCCCTGCAACCCCTAAAGTCCCTGGAGCCCCCAAAATACAAGCCTGAACCCTCAACCCTCAACCCCTCAACCCTAAACTCCTACACCCTCAACCCCATAGTTCTTTGTAGTCACCCCCCTTTTCCGAGCGGGCAGCCCTCGCAACCCTAGGCCTCAAGCTGGTTTAGGGTTTAGGGTTTAGGGTTTAGGGCTATGCAGTCGGAGCCGCACAGGGTCGTAGCAGTCCATGCCCCAATAGTGAAGCCTGCATCCATGTTTTGGGGCTGCTCTGAATCAGGATTTAGGGGTTAACCCTAAACCCTAAACCCTAAACCCTGAACCCCAAACCCTAAACCCTAAACCCCAAACCCTAAACCCTAAACCGCAGGGTTGAGGGTCTCGGGGTCGGCCCCTTTCTAAGGAGAGCCTCCTCTCAACAAGCTGAATGAAGCCCACTTGAAGGCTCATCATGAAGCATGTCTGGGGCTATGGGTACCCGAAATGTGGGTTTAGGGTTTAGGGTTTAGGGTTTAGGGTTTAGGGTTTAGGGTTTAGGGTTTAGGGTTTAGGGTTTAGGGTTTAGGGTTTAGGGAATGTGTTTTCGGCATTTTCGGGAGTATTGTGGCGAGTCCTCCTGACATAGAAGTCTAGCTATGTTGTTTGCAACCCCAGTTGTAGGTAGCCGATGACGCCAATGCTTGAAGAAACCGGTGTGTTCAGTGACTGGGGCCAGTAAGCAGGGCAGCTGCATTCACAAGTAGTTCTAGTCCAATCTTACTTATGGCAACCCTCCCTGCAACCAAAAATAGCCTTCAAGTGGTTTAGGGTTTAGGGTTTAGGGTTTAGGGTTTAGGGTTTAGGGTTTAGGGTTTAACCCAAACCCCACGCCCCAGACCCGAAACCCGAAACGCAAAACTTCGCTCCTGCGAAGTAGCACTATGGAATAGGGGCATTTTTGAGCTCGAGGCTTTGGGTTTAGGGGGTTTAGGGCGTAGTCCCTTCTCACCAGGGATGGGGCACGAGTAATGGACCAACCCTAAACCCTAAACACTAAACCCTAAATCTGTAAAACTACCCATGGAAAGTGCTCTGCCTACCGGTGCTTCCCGGTGCATGAACGAGAGTGGGGGGGGGGGGGTGGGGCAAGTTAATACAGGAACTGTTTAAGCCTAAAGCCCTAAACCCTAAACCCCAAACCCAAGCCCTAAACCCTAAACCCTAAACCCTAACCTGAACTGTAAACCTTGCCAGGAAAACTGTTCTTAAGCCTGCAGGGCCCTCTAAACCCTAAACCCTCACTCCGCAGATCCACGCCTGGCATTGTCTGTGCCTGGGTTCTGGTTCATGAGAACCTCCCAATCCTGGCGTCTTCTTCGGGCTGGGAGATGTTGAAGAATGCGGGGTTTAGGATTTAGGGAAGCTCCGGGTTTGTGCTTACGGAGCAGCATGAGCATCAACCTAGAGCCAAGCGAGGCGAGCATTCATGAGCATCAGTTAGGCGCGCCCTCTCAAGATGAGCATCAGCTAGGCATGCCTTCAAGGGTGGGGCCAGGTGAGGCGAGCATCATGAGCATCAGCTGGGCATGCCTTCAAGGGTGGGGCCAGGCGAGGCGAGCATCATGAGCATCAGCTGGGCATGCCTTCAAGGGTGGGGCCAGGCGCGGCGAGCATCATGAGCATCAGCTGGGCATGCCTTCAAGGGTGGGGCCAGGCGAGGCGAGCATCATGAGCATCAGCTGGGCATGCCTTCAAGGGTGGGGCCAGGCGAGGCGGGCATCATGAGCATCAGCTGCGCATGCCTTCAAGGGTGGGGCCAGGCGAGGCGAGCATCAGGAGCATCAGCTGGGCATGCCTTCAAGGGTGGGGCCAGGCGAGGCGAGCATCATGAGCATCAGCTGAGCATGCCTTCAAGGGTGGGGCCAGGCGAGGCGAGCATCATGAGCATCAGCTAGGCATGCCTTCAAGGGTGGGGCCAGGCGAGGCGAGCATCATGAGCATCAGCTGGGCATGCTTTCAAGGGTGGGGCCAGGCGCGGCGAGCATCATGAGCATCAGCTGGGCATGCCTTCAAGGGTGGGGCCAGGCGAGGCGAGCATCATGAGCATCAGCTGGGCACGCCTTCAAGGGTGGGGCCAGGCGAGGCGAGCATCATGAGCATCAGCTGGGCATGCCTTGAGCATCAGCTGAGCATGCCTTCAAGGGTGGGGCCAGGCGAGGCGAGCATCACGAGCATCAGCTGGGCATGCCTTCAAGGGTGGGGCCAGGCGAGGCGAGCATCATGAGCACAGCTGGGCATGCCTTCAAGGGTGGGGCCAGGCGAGGCGAGCATCATGAGCATCAGCTGGGCATGCCTTCAAGGGTGGGGCCAGGCCAGGCGAGCATCATGAGCATCAGCTGGGCATGCCTTCAAGGGTGGGGCCAGGCGAGGCGAGCATCATGAGCACAGCTGGGCATGCCTTCAAGGCGAGGCGAGCATCATGAGCATCAGTGGGCATGCCTTCAAGGGTGGGGCCAGGCGAGGCGAGCATCATGAGCATCAGCTGGGCATGCCTTCAAGGGTGGGGCCAGGCGAGGCGAGCATCATGAGCATCAGTTGGGCATGCCTTCAAGGGCGGGGCCAGGCGAGGCGAGCATCATGAGCATCAGCTTGGGCATGCGTTCAAGGGTGGGGCCAGGCGAGGCGAGCATCATGAGCATCAGCCGGGCATGCCTTCAAGGGTGCGGCCAGGCGAGGCGAGCATCATGAGCATCAGTTGGGCATGCCTTCAAGGGTGGGGCCAGGCGAGGCGAGCATCATGAGCATCAGCTGGGCATGCCTTCAAGGGTGGGGCCAGGCGAGGCGAGCATCATGAGCATCAGCTTGGGCATGCCTTCAAGGGTGGGGCCAGGCGAGGCGAGCATCATGAGCATCAGCTGGGCATGCCTTCAAGGGTGGGGCCAGGCGAGGCGAGCATCATGAGCATCAGCTTGGGCATGCCTTCAAGGGGGGGGCCAGGCGAGGCGAGCATCATGAGCATCAGCTGGGCATGCCTTCAAGGGTGGGGCCAGGCGAGGCGAGCATCATGAGCATCAGCTGGGCATGCCTTCAAGGGTGGGGCCAGGCGAGGCGAGCATCATGAGCATCAGCTGGGCCAGGCGAGCATCAGGAGCATCAGCTGGGTAAGGGTGGGGCCAAGCGAGGCGAGCATCATGAGCATCACCTGGGTATGCCCTTCAGGGTGCGGCCAGGCGAGGCGAGCACCATGAGCATCAGCTGGGCATGCCTTCAAGGGTGGGGCCAGGCGAGGCGAGCACCATGAGCATCAGCTGGGCATGCCTTCAAGGGTCGGGCCAGGCGAGGCGAGCATCATGAGCATCAGCTGGGCCAGGCGAGCATCAGGAGCATCAGCTGGGTAAGGGTGGGGCCAAGCGAGGCGAGCATCATGAGCATCACCTGGGTATGCCCTTCAGGGTGCGGCCAGGCGAGGCGAGCACCATGAGCATCAGCTGGGCATGCCTTCAAGGGTGGGGCCAGGCGAGGCGAGCACCATGAGCATCAGCTGGGCATGCCTTCAAGGGTCGGGCCAGGCGAGGCGAGCATCATGAGCATCAGCTGTGCATGCCTTCAAGGGTGGGGCCAGGCGAGGCGAGCATCATGGGCATCAGCTGGGCATGCCTTCAAGGGTGGGGCCAGGCGAGGCGAGCATCATGAGCATCAGCTGGGCATGCCTTCAAGGGTGGGGCCAGGCGAGGCGAGCATCATGAGCATCAGCTTGGGCATGCCTTCAAGGGTGGGGCCAGGCGAGGCGAGCATCATGAGCATCAGCTGGGCATGCCTTCAAGGGTGGGGCCAGGCGAGGCGAGCATCATGAGCATCAGCTTGGGCATGCCTTCAAGGGCGGGGCCAGGCGAGGCGAGCATCATGAGCATCAGCTGGGCATGCCTTCAAGGGTGGGGCCAGGCGAGGCGAGCATCATGAGCATCAGCTGGGCATGCCTTCAAGGGTGGGGCCAGGCGAGGGAGCATCATGAGCATCAGCTGGGCCAGGCGAGCATCAGGAGCATCAGCTGGGTAAGGGTGGGGCCAAGCGAGGCGAGCATCATGAGCATCACCTGGGTATGCCCTTCAGGGTGCGGCCAGGCGAGGCGAGCACCATGAGCATCAGCTGGGCATGCCTTCAAGGGTGGGGCCAGGCGAGGCGAGCACATGAGCATCAGCTGGGCATGCTTCAAGGGTCGGGCCAGGCGAGGCGAGCATCATGAGCATCAGCTGGGCCAGGCGAGCATCAGGAGCATCAGCTGGGTAAGGGTGGGGCCAAGCGAGGCGAGCATCATGAGCATCACCTGGGTATGCCCTTCAGGGTGCGGCCAGGCGAGGCGAGCACCATGAGCATCAGCTGGGCATGCCTTCAAGGGTGGGGCCAGGCGAGGCGAGCACCATGAGCATCAGCTGGGCATGCCTTCAAGGGTCGGGCCAGGCGAGGCGAGCATCATGAGCATCAGCTGGGCCAGGCGAGCATCAGGAGCATCAGCTGGGTAAGGGTGGGGCCAAGCGAGGCGAGCATCATGAGCATCACCTGGGTATGCCCTTCAGGGTGCGGCCAGGCGAGGCGAGCACCATGAGCATCAGCTGGGCATGCCTTCAAGGGTGGGGCCAGGCGAGGCGAGCACCATGAGCATCAGCTGGGCATGCCTTCAAGGGTCGGGCCAGGCGAGGCGAGCATCATGAGCATCAGCTGGGCCAGGCGAGCATCAGGAGCATCAGCTGGGTAAGGGTGGGGCCAAGCGAGGCGAGCATCATGAGCATCACCTGGGTATGCCCTTCAGGGTGCGGCCAGGCGAGGCGAGCACCATGAGCATCAGCTGGGCATGCCTTCAAGGGTGGGGCCAGGCGAGGCGAGCACCATGAGCATCAGCTGGGCATGCCTTCAAGGGTCGGGCCAGGCGAGGCGAGCATCATGAGCATCAGCTGTGCATGCCTTCAAGGGTGGGGCCAGGCGAGGCGAGCATCATGGGCATCAGCTGGGCATGCCTTCAAGGGTGGGGCCAGGCGAGGCGAGCATCATGAGGCATGAGCTGGCTGTGCAGGATGTGTTCAAAACGTGTAGGGAGTTTAGTCAATTTATGAAGCCGAGGGTCCTCTGCCTGAAGCAGAATACCGAAACCCTATGAACTTTAAACACGGGTGCAGGGCTTCAGAGTTTAGAGTCTAGAGTTTAGGACACGAGGCCCTCTTGATGAATCCAAAATAGCCTAAACGCCAAGCCCAATTTCAACCCGACTGACACCCCAAACTGCGAACCCTAGAAAAACCTTTATCAAGCAATCGCACGAAGATGAAGCCCCAGCCCCCAAATCTAAAACCAAATCGAGGGTTTAGGGTTTAGGGTCTAGGGTTTAGGGTTTTAGGGTTTAGGATTTAGGGTTTAGGGTTCCCCAAAAACCTCACCCCAAACCAGTAAAGCCCGCATTTTAAATCCATAAATCACATCGAAAAGTCAATGACATCTATGTTGGCTCGGGCTTTGCTTTCAACACGATACAGCACTGAGGGCTTAAGTTTAAGTAGTATCCCCCTGCAAGGCTCCACCCTTACAGCCAGAACCCCCAAAACTGGAAACCCCAAAGCCCCAACTTTAGGCCCGAAAATCCAAATCTGAAAACACCAAAGCCCTGAAAACGGAAGACCCACGACCCCAAACCCGAGACGCCGGACCCCGACCCAATACCCTCAAACCAATGAGAACCTAACCCAGCCCCCCCCCCCCACCCCCAACCCAAAGCCCGAAACCCTACACGCCCGCCGACCCTAAACCCGAAACCATAAACCCCAAACCCTTCAAAGCCTAAATCCCCGAACCCTCCACCGATACCCGAAACCCGAAACCCGAAACCCGAAACCCAAAACCCAAAACCCTAAACCCTAAACCCTAAACCCACCGCACCTTGGCGCCGAAGGGTCGCAGCTCAAAGATGCAACCCATCAACTCGGGCGTTTCGGGCGGCGCTGGCTCTGTGGGGGGCATCGGGCACAGAAAGACCCCGGCTCAGGGTTTAGGGCTTTCTTTTGGAACCCTAAACCCTAAACCCTAAACCCTAAGCCCCAAAACTTAAGGGATTTTGCGCCCCAGTCGACCTAAGATTGGAAAAAGGGTGCAGTGGAGTTTGCAGGTTCAGGGTTTAGGGTGTACCTGGGCCTTCCTGGAAAAGGGAAAAGTCCAAAAAGTTCTGACTGGAAAAACTCGGTCTTTCAGGCCGTTCGGGTTGAGGGCTCGGAAGGCACCATTCATGCGTTTCCCCCGCTTGCCCGTATGATGGGCCTCCTAGGAGATAGTCACCCTAAACCCTCATCCCGAAGCCCTAAACCCCAAGCAAGTCGGTGTTTCGCCGCTTAGGTCCTGCAATTTCGCACTAAACCCTAAACCCTAAACCCTAAACCCTAAACCCTAAACCCTAAACCCTAAACCCTAAACCCTAAACAGCCTAAACCCTAAACCCTAAACCCTAAACCCTAAAGTTTGAGGATTGGAGTGAAGGGAAGGCAACTGCAAGTTCTGGGCTCACAGGGTCATGGATCCATAGGCTTTGTAGGGCTTGTGGTCTACGCAGGATTAGCCGGTTGATACCCAAAACCCTACAAAAAATCCAACCCCCAAAACCCTGAAGCCCCCTAGAACACCCCAAAACCCTAAAACCCCCCAAAACCCCAAAACGCTAAAACCCCCCAAAACCCTACACCCTACACCCGTCCACGGGCCTCGGCGATGAGGGTCATATCCCGGCCCCAGGACCCAATGCCTCGTAGGCTTTCTAGGGGCTTCCGGGTCCTAAACCCTAACCCCAAACCTTGTTTAAGTGCTTTGGGTCTAGAGGGCGGAGAGTTCAGGGATATTGGAGTGTCAAAGGAACGCTTCGAGAGGGTAGTGAGGGTTCAGGGCCCGAGGGTCAGGGGTTTTGTGAGGGCTTAGAAGCCCTAAACCCTAAACCCTACCCTAAACCCTAAGCAGGGTTTAGGGCTTCGTCGGAGTGGTTCTTGTTATTCAGGGTAGGCTCCTCTCTTGGTTGAGTGGAAGGGGGGAGGGTGTTGGTGGAAGGTGCCGGCTTTGTCGTTTAGGGCTCCGGGTTCAGTAGGTTCGGGTTTAGGGTTAGGCTTTTAGGGCTTTAGGGTTTAGAGTTAGGGGTTAGGGGGAATTTTAGGGTTTAGGTTGAAGGCTTTGGGATTAGCATCTAGGGTTTAAGGTGGACCTCAAAGATGGAACAGGCGGCCTGTGATGTTCTGATGCACCGTGCCGCGGCTGCCAAACAGATTCTCGAGGTCCGCTGCCCCCACGCGGCGGCAGAGGAAGACGCGATTGGGAAGCACCTGGACAGACCCTAAACCCTAAACCCTAAACTCCCTAAACCCTGAACCCTGAACCCTAAACCCTAAACCCTGAACTCCCTAAACCCTGAACCCTAAACCCTAAACCCGAAAACCCGAAAACCCCAAGACCTGAGCTTCGCTTCTTGTTTGAAATAGGGCTTAGGGAACCTGAGCCTTGGGTTTGATTAGGGTTTAGGGTTTTGGGTTTAGGGTTTAGGGTTTAGGGGTTTAGGGTTTAGGGTTTAGGGGGTTCTACAGCGCGAAGTCGTGGCACTAAACAACTGTAAACCCGAACCTGAACCCCTAAGCCCTGAGCCCTGAACGCAATTGCTGCAGTGTTGATTCAAAGGGGGAGGTATCTTCGCCTTCACGACCTCGTAGCTGCAATTGAGCCGGTACCTGAGTGCAGATGCAGCCCGTCGGTTTTGGAGTACCCTAAACCCTAAACCCTAAACCCTAAACGCCTGGCTCCGGGCTACAAGGAAGGTAGCCGGGCAGCCCCTTTGAGCCTAGCCTGAACCGTTAGCCCCACACCTTCAAGTCTGACGGTCACGGAAACCCCCATAGATGGGTTCAGGGTTTAGGGTTTAGGGTTTGGGGTTTGGGGTTTGGGGTTTAGGGTTTAGGGTTTTTGGGTTTAGGGTGTGGGGTTTGGGGTTTAGGGGGGCTTAGGGTACTGTACCTATTACAAACGGCACTCAAAACGCACCACAAATGAACAACCCGGCATAGCAAACAGGGGGCTTGTTGGCAGACTCCCTGTCCCCGTAGAGGAAGTCCAGACAGCAAAAGAGCAGAGTTCCAGCCAGGCCGACGATGTTCCTGGGTCTAGGGTTTAGGGTTTAGGGTTTAGGGTTTAGGGTTTAGGGTTTAGGGTTTAGGGTTTAGGGTTTAGGGTTTAGGGTTTAGGGTTTAGGGTTTGGGGTTTAGGATGGGAAGAAGGGTTTCGGCCTTCGGGTTTGTAAACTTCCTAAACCTACAAAACCCTCAAAACCACCTGACCTCCCTAAACTCCCGACGCTACCTAAGCCTCCTAAGCACCCCGAAGCCCGAAAACATCTTAAACTTCCCGAACCCCTGAGAACCCCCAACTAAACCCTGAAACACTAAAACCCTACACCCCAAACCCTGAACCCCTAACCCTAAACCTCTATCGCCTCTAACCCTGAACCCTAAGCCCCTAACCCTAAACCCTAAAGCCTAAAGCCTAGCCTAAACAGCCTAAACTTAAACCCCTCACCCTAAACCCCTAACCCTAAACCCTAAACCCTAAACCCTAAACCTCCTCAACCCTACTCCCGTAAACCCCGCCGCGCTGCAGCACCGCCGCCTCGGGAAGCCACGAGAAGGCCCGGAAGATGAGGAAGGCCATCCTATGGGGTTTCAGGGTTTAGGGTTTAGTGTTTAGGGCTTAAGGTATAGGGTGTAGGGTTAAGGGTTTTTAGAGTTTAGGGCTAGAGGGTTTCAGGGTTTAGGGTTTAGAGTTTAGGGCTTAGGGTATAATGTGAGAGTCGCTTTTTAATTGGTGTGGTAATGGTAATAATCGCCGGGCCAGAGGGCCCCAGCCGAAGACTACTTTCCATTACGGGAGGTTTTCGGGCCGATGTATGTAAACAAGTCTATACAGGGGGGTCCGGTGATAATAATAATGGGGTGGTATTTGCAAAATTTTCCGGCCAGGAATTGAAAATTTTACTGAACATGGCTTACGAGTTCCATTGCAGAGAAGACTTTTCAGCTGAGCTGGCTTGACAGAGCTCCAAGGCTCAGTCTTTAGAGAAGCAGATCTCGTTTGAGATTGTTTGCCTTCTGAGATTGCTGCAGCTCCAGAGCTGCGAGAAACTGCTGTTTCAGGGCTGTTTCTTCACACCCCAGACCCCCAGAATCCTCATAATTGACACCCCGCATTTTTCCCGCATTTTTTCCACCCCTCCAAACCCCGGGGACCAAAACAAGATTGGGGGGGGGTTTAATTATTAGGGACTCTAACATTAGCGTGTATAAGGGTTTTGAGGTTTAGGGTTGGCATAACTGGGGTGGTAGTCAAACCTTTGAACCCTAAACCCAAACCCCAAACCCAAGTCAACCACCCCAAAACGGGTTTTAAAGTTTAGGGTTTGGGGCTTTAGGGGTTTGGGGTTTTAGGGTTTGGGTTTCAGGGTTCAGGGTTTAGGGCTTGAGGTTTTGGGGTTCGGGGCATAGGGTTCAGGGTTGGGCTTCTGGGTTTGGAGTTTTGGGTGGCGTGGGTTTAGAGTTTGGGTTTAGGGATCAAAGGTTTGACCACCACCCCAGTTATGCCAACCCTAAACCCGAAACCCATGAACCTGCAGGTTGCGCAAGCTTTCGGCTTCGGGCGCGCGTGCGTTGAAGGACATGCCGAGGATCCAAGCCAGCCGGGGCAGCAGCATCCAGAGGCGGAGCTCTTTGTACCTCTCGGCTTGGGCCCTCCAAAACCCCTAAACCCTAAGCGGCGAAACCGGTAACCCCTAAACCCCAAACCCCTAAACCCTACGTCCTATAATCCCTCAACCCCTAAACCTTCAGGTGACCCTAAACCCTAAGCCCAAAAGCCCTAAACCCTAAGCCCTAATCCCCTAACCCCTAAAGAAACCCCTAAACCCTGAGGTAGAACTTTTGCCACTTGTGAGCCCAACAGCCCCCGCAAAGCTCAAGCCACACTTATCACATGGCCTCACAATCCCTTAACGAAAAAAATATATATATATATATATATACATACATATATATATATACATATATATATATATATAAACGACAACTCAACCCCTAAACCCCTGAAACCACCCCCCTCCCCCCCCGCCCAAACCGTGAACCCTGAACCCCTACCCCCTTAACCCTAGCCCTAAACCTCCCCCCCTCCCCCCCTGGTTGAAAACAAAAAGTCATCAGCTGCCGGAGATTCTACACCGAGATACCCCCCAAATGCGCAATCCTTCTGGAATATAGGTTGAACCCAGGAGTAACCTAGGAATAAAACAGGGTACCCTTTTTGGCTTCAAGGGGATTATAAGGGAGCCCCTCCCCTGAAAAAAGGGAATAAGGGCCTACTCCGGGTCCTAGATATCCTGAACCACTCCACCGGTTGGAGCATTGATCCCAGCACTCCAGCAAGAGTTCCCTGTCCAGGGCTCGTTCACGGGCCTGTTCTTGGCGGCGCTCGCAGAAGGCCTGAAAGGCCAACCTAGCATCCGGAGAAACACCTGGAGGTACCATGGACGGCAGAGCTGAAGATGACGAAGAAGCCTGCGTGGCTGTCAGCAACGGCGCCTCGAAAGGCGCAAAAGTTCCCAGTGCAGCGGCAGCTGGGCGAGTAACCGCCCCATCCACACGGCCATCGTCAGAAGCAGTCTCGCCATAGTCACCATCAGGATCAAAGCCGGAACTTGGGCTGCGAGGCCCGCCAGAATAGTCGGACAAAACAGCTGCTGCAGAAAGGCAGCAAAGTGCCAGTGTCATGTAGTGGCCCCAGAGCACTGACACACTCCGACAGCCAGCCAAAGGTGCCTCAGCCAATTGCAGCAAGACACGTGGCGCCGTGTGTTGCTCATCCAGCAAGCAGATCGTCCAAGGTCTCTGGGGGCCAGCTGCCCCTAAACCCTAAACCCTAAACCCTAAACCCTAAACCCTAAACCCTAAACCCTAAACCCTAAATCCTAAACCCTAAACCCTAAACCCTAAACCCTAAACCCTAAACCCTAAACCCTAAACCCTAAACCCTAAACCCTAAACCCTAAACCCTAAACCCTAAACGGCGGAGATCAGTCGCCTCCGCCTGTTTTTGCAGCCTCGAGTCCATCAGGCATGCTCATGGACCATAAAGACCCCCCAAAACCCTTCATTCCCCTGGTTCTTAGTAGGGTTTAGGGTTTAGGGTTTAGGGTTTAGGGTTTAGGGTTTAGGGTTTAGGGTTTAGGGTTTAGGGTTTAGGGTGTAGGAGTGGGGAATGAGGGCATTAGGGCCCTATTCTATAACGTTCCCTCATGCCCTACCTAAGAGCCAGCCAGTCATTCATACCCCCAAAACCCTTGACCCTCCAGAAACCCCTAAACCCCTAAAACCCCAAAACCGCTAATGTACCAAAACCCCTAATACCCTAATACCCCTAAACCGCCTAATACCCCTAACCGCCCTATTACGCCTAGTGCCCCAAAACGCTTAGTACCCCAAAAAACCGCCAAGTCCAAAACCCTATCAGCCTATATTGACACCCTTCGTCTCGCACCTCTCCGGCTTGTTCAGGCTCTTCCCGGCCTTTTGGATAAGCCTTGGCTCGGAGCTCACTGAGGATTCCTTTTGACGTTTAGGGTTTAAGGTTTTAGGGTTGAGGGGTTGGTGTTTAGGGTTTAGGGTTTAGGGGTTGGGGTTGGGGCTTCTCAGGGTTTAGGGTTTCGGGTTTAGGGTTTCGGGTTTAGGGTTTCGGGTTTGGGGTTTAGGGTTTGGGGTTTAGGGTTTGGGGTTTAGGTACACTAAGCTCCATATAAGCCCTAAGAGTGCAAACGAGGCGCCCGATTTGATGGGGTGAGGGAATCGAACCTCTGAACCCTAAACCCTAAACCCTAAACCCTAAACTCTAAAAAGGGAGAAGAAGAGCATATAACTGCCGCGTTAAACCGTGTGAGTCCGTTAAAATTACGATCATCAGGGACCCCTATCACAGACCCCCAAATAGTGGTATCCCCTTACCTTAAGGACCTCAATAAGGTACCCCGAATATCGTAAAACCCCAAATCTGAACCCTAAACCCTAAACCCTAACCCTAAACCCTAAACCCCTAGCCCTAAACCCTGAACCCGCAGCTTTTGGAACCCAAAACCAGGCTTTGGGCTTTGGGATCGGCCGCTGCAGGCTGCAGCCAAGGAGCCAAGCGAGAAGGACGGCCGTGCCCACCTGCGAGCTTTTTTTTTTTTGGGGAGGGGGGTTGGTGGTAGGGTTTAGGGTTTAGGGCTTAGGTTGTAGGGTTTAGGGTTTAATGTTTAGGGTTCCTGCGGCGCATCCAGGGCACTGACAGCTCGTCGCAGGTGAGGGCGCAGCAGAAGGCGGCCGGCAGAAGTGGAACCTTGCTGGGGTCATGAAAGGGTAAGGCTTGGGATGTTCCCCCTAAACCCTAAACCCTAAGCCCCCCTGATACTAGCAGCTCCTTAATTAATAAGGGTTATAGTACCCCCTAGTATAATCCCTATTAAGGACTGTTAGTATAAGGGGGGAACATCCCAAAGGTAGGGCTTTAACCTTGTAGGCTTATAGGGTTTTAGGTCTAGGCGTTTACCCGAAGAGGGGTTACAGGGTTTCGGGCTGAGGGTTTAAGGTTTAACCTTATAGGGTGCTGGTGTCTTAAAGGGTAGGGCCTGGCTTTAACCTGTAGGGTTTAGGGCTTTAACCTTACAAGGTCTTGACCTTGTAGGGTTAGAGAGTCATGTCTTAAAGGGTAGGGCTTTGCCCTTTTGGGGTTGTAGGTTTTTGGGGTTTAGGGTTTAGGTTTTTAACCTTATGGGCTTTAGGGTTTAGGGTTTAGGGCTTTAACCTTATAGGCATATTGAGTTTAGGCTTTGGGGTGTAAACCTTACAAGGTGTTGACCTTATAGGACTTCAGGGTGTGGATTTATATCGCTAGGGTGGGGGGGGGGGGGGGGGTGCTGGACCCTAAGCCCTAATTAAACCCTAAACCCTAAACCCTAGCAATCTCGTGGGCTTGTCGTGCTGCGTCTGCCGCGTGAGCGGTGTCCAGAAGGCCCCGAGCTGCTTTTTTGGGGTGCATAGGGTTTAGGGTTATGGGTGTACAGGGTTTAGGGTTTAGGGTTTCGGGTTTAGGGTTGTGGGTGTACAGGGTTTAGGGTGTAATTGTAGGGGTTAGTTCGGTTTAGGGTGTTTAGGGTTTAGGGTGTACAGGGATTAGGGTGTATAGTGTATAGGGTTTAGGGTGTTTAGGGTTTAGGGTTTAGGGCTTTAGAGTTTTGGGGTCGAGTAAAATGGATTGGGCAATGCCCGGCCTATGAGGCCCCTGGCTACTTGGGACTGTTTCCCAACGGGGAGGGGGGGGGGTTTAGGGTTCGCGTTCAGGTCCCTAAACCCTAAACCCTAAACCCTAAACCCTAAACCTTAAACCCTAAACCCTAAACCCTAAGCCCTAAACCCTAAACCCTAAACCAACCCTAAACCCGAAACAAACTCGTGGACGCGAGAAGCCAAAGGGGACCACCGGCCAGCAGAGATGTCGGCATCAATGCACTCCTTGCCTTGGCTGACTTCCTTACCTTTTTCCTTTTCGGCTCCTTTATTTGTAGTTTCTACAATTAGGGTTTAGGGTTTAGGGTTTAGGGTTTAGGGTTCAGGGTTTAGGGTTTAGGGTTTAGGGTTTAGGGCGTCCTAAGAGCCAGCCAGAAGAAAGCCCAAGTTGCTCAGGATCTGACGGATGACGCCCGTGTCGTCAGAGGTGGTCGTGTGGCTTCGGTGGCTCCGATAGCTCTCATGGTACATCCAGGTGCGGTAGAGCATCGGCACAGGCTTGAAGATGTACTTGTCCTTTTTCAGCTTCTCCACCGTCCTCAGTGCCCAGGGGCATTATCACCCAATTATAACGATTTTCGGGCAGTTAAGGGGCTTCTAAGTGGGCTATAAGTACAGTTATTGGGCTATAACTACCATGAACCTCCAAGTATAGTGGCCCTTCTATGTAGGACATGGTGGCCCCCAAGAAGGTTCCAACATCCGCCCTTAGCTTGACCTGCAGTTCAACACCCCAAAAGCGTGATACCCCTAAACCCTAAACCCTAAACCCTACACCCTACACCCTAAACCCTAAACCCTAAACCCTAAACCCTAAACCCTAAACCCCCATACTGCGCGAGAACCAGGGTTCCCTTCCACGACACCCCGTGACCAGAGATCCACTGCGTGGAAGTCGTAGCGGTTGTGTCCGTCGTAGACCAGCTTCACCTCGCGGTCTTAGGGCTTATAGGGTTCTAGGGTTTTTTTATGGCGTTTTAGAGTTTTTAGGGGTTTTAGGCGTTTCAAGGGTTTCTAGGGTTTCTGGGGTTTCTGGGGTTTGTAGGGTTTGCTGGGTTTACAGGTTTTATAGGGTGCTTAGGGTTTCTAGGGTTTGTGGGGTTTGGGGGTTTGTAGGGCGCTTAGGGTTCTAGGGTTTCTAGGGTGCTTAGGGTTCTAGGGTTTGTAGGGTTTGTGGGATTTAAAGGATTTGTAGGGTTTATAGGGCTTAGGCTCAGCGGGGCCGTAGAGCTTCAGGTTTCCACCCCCCAAGGTTCCCCTCCCGCACCCCCGGCCCTATTAATGATGCGAACTTTTGGCAACTAACCTCCGAGCCAGATGCTCCCTCCTATAACCCGAATCAAGGGAGCGTTCAGGTGCCCTTACTGCTACGCCATCAACCCCTCAACCCTAGCTCCTTCGAAAGTGCCACAACCCCTCGCAGCGGTCTCAGCGACAGACGAACTTGACAAGGTATTGACATCATCTCCAAAGCTTAGAGATGATTGATCAACCTACTGTGCTGATTAGAAACATCAGCGACTTCACTTCTATGGAACGGACTGACTCCAAATCCGAGCCAGGCCTAAACCTGAAAAACCTAGCCCAACCCAATATCGAAAGAACGGCCCCGAGAAAAAGAGACGATGCCTGGTCATGAAGACACCTTCGGAAGGAGTGTCTTAGGCCCGCATCCCAACCTTCACGGGTTTAGGGTTTATAATGTTTAGGGTTTAGGGTTCCCTCAACCCCAAAAAAGTTGTGAAAGCCCCCTGAGCCCTGAATCCAGAAATCCCGCTCCGTAAGCCCATAGCCTTGGGATGTTGCCCGCTTATCCTAACAGTCCTTCATAGGGACTCGAATAGGGGATACGACAATCCCTCTTAAGGACTGTTAGTATAAGGTGAGAAAATCCCAAGCTAAGCCCTACTTGGAGGTTCATGGTACTTAGTAACCCAGTTATAAATGTATTTATAACCCAATTATAACTATTTTTTGGGGCACTTCAGGGGCTTACAAGTGGGTTTTAACTACACTTATAACGGGTTACGAAGTCCCTAACCCTAAACCCTAAACCCTAAACCCTAAACCCTAAACCCTAAAGGCCCTAAACCCAAAACCCAAAACCCAAAGCCCAAAGCCCTAAACCCTGAACCCTGAACCCTAAAACGAAACCCGCGCCTTGGCCGACACCGGGTCGCGCACGACGCGGCCGATGAAGGAAGGGCCGTGGGGTCCCATCCTTAAACTTTGCAGTTGGGGGTTAGGGTTTAGGGTTTAGGGTTTAGGGTTAGGGTTTAGGGTTTAGGGTTTAGGGTTTAGGGTTTAGGGTTTAGGGTTTAGGGTTTAGGGTTTAGGGTTTAGGGTTTAGGGTTTAGGGTTTAGGGTTTAGGGTTTAGGGTTTAGGGTTTAGGGTTTAGGATTGAATTTTGCAGTTGGGGCTTTTGGGGGGGGTTTAGCAGTTTAGCACTTGTTTTCTGGTGTAAGGGTGGGGGCCCATCCGATGTTGAATTTTGCAGTTGGGGGCTTTGGGGCTTGGCAATTCTTCTGGTGTAAGGTTCTGGTTTGCCGTCGGGGCTTGTGGGGTTTAGGTTATTTGGGGTGTAAGGTCCTACGGATTGGGTCTGAAGACGGCATGTTTTTGCACTCAGGGTTGACCACCACTAGTGCCACTACCCCCAACACTTCTACTGTTGCCACTCCTACTCCGACTCCCACTATGCTTTGGGCTTCGGGTTGGAGGCTCCGGGATTTTAACTTTGGGTTGGCACTGCTGGGGTCTTCAGGTAGTTGTAGAGTCTGGACGTTGTTACGGAACGTGACGGTTCATGGATGCTGCGCTGGCAGCATGGACGTACTTGCGGCTCGCCGGGTTGTCCGTCTCTTGCTAGGGTTGAAGCTTTGGGACTTCGGGCTTCTTGGGACTTCGGGCTTCGAGTGTATGGCTGAAACCCTAAACCCTAAACCCTAAACCCTAAACCCTAAACCCTAAACCCTAAACCCTAAACCCTAAACCCTAAACCCTAAACCCTAAACCCTAAACCCTACCCCTCGACCCTGTGGTCTGCCGGTGCTTGATGGCCGTTTGCAAGCCGCCACGGGATGGTGGGGTGGGTCTGCAGGCGTTACCGCTCGAGCTGCTGAAGCTCGAAAGCTCGAACCCCTAATAAAACCCTATGTGTTCACACAAGCCCGGGAAAAAAAGGTTGCAACCCAGCGCTGCCCCTTGGAGTTCGAACCCTGGGGGTTTAAGGTTTAGGGTTTAGGGTTTAGGGTTTAGGGTTTAGTGTTTAGATGTGGGTTCGAGGGGAACATGGAACTTCAGGTTCCGGACGAGACTTCGGGTGTTGGAGCCCGGGGCTCGGACATCTCAGTTCCCTTACCCTGGGTTCCAACACCACCCCCCCGTTAGGGTTTAAGGTTTGTGGGGAGCCGGACACTTAAAGAATTGGACTTTGATGACTCCGCCTATCCGAAACGTCCGAGGGCACCTTAGAACAAGACACATCTGAATCGTAAACTTGAGAGAGCATGAGTACAATCCGTGTGCGAGCAGATATCCCTGAAATCCTTGATCGATGTCTCTTGGGTCTTGTCGCTCTGTGGAGCATGCTGCTCTGAACTCGTTGCATGTTACTCTTGTCGTTGTTCATCGCGTGAAATAACCCTCAACCCTAAACCTAAACCCCGCTTGGGGGTTGGGGTGGGGGGGAGACCCGGAGCTCTTCTCTTTACTTCTCGATGGAAGGGTCTTTACTCTTATTCCTTACTCATACTTTTCATAGTCCCTAAAACAGCAGCCAACTTAACCCTCTTTAATCCACACCCTAACACCCCGAAACCTGAAACGCTAAAACCCTAAAACCCTGAAACGCTAAAACCCTAAAACACTAAAACCCTGAAAACCCTTAAACAACCCTGAAAAACCCGTTCAAAACTCCAAAAACCCGAAAACCCCTAAAGAATCCCAAAAACACATAAAACCCTGAAAAACCTAGAAAACCTTAAAACCCTAAACCCCCCCACCCCAAATAAAAAAAAAAAAAACCTTAAACAACACCAAAACCCCTTCAAGAACGGCCGAGCATCAAAGGATTGTCTGGGTCTCCCCAGTCCGCAGACTCGACCTACCATGCGTTGCGGTTTAGGCTTTAGGCTTTAGGCTTTAGGCTTTAGGCTTTAGGCTTTAGGCTTTAGGCTTTAGGCTTTAGGGTTTAGGGTTTAGGGTTTAGGGTTGAGGGTTAAGGTTAAGGGTTTAGGGTTTGAGGTTTGGGGTTTTGGGTTTAGGGTTTACGGTTTAGGGTTTAGGATTCAGGGTTTAGGGCTGAGGGTTTAGGGTTTAGGGTGTAGGATTCAGGGTTTAGGGTTTAGGGTTGAGGGTTTAGGGTGTAGGGTGTAGGGTTTAGGGTTTGAGGCTTTGGGGCTTTGGAGCTTTGGGGCTTTGGGGCTTTGGGGGGTGCCCTATGCCCCGAAATCCAAGCCCAAAATCCAAGCCCGAAACCCTAAACCATAACCCTAAACCCTAAACCTGAAACCCCCAACGACTTGGGGGGGGGGGGGATGTTGCAGGCATGCTGTTGTCATAGTAAGTGTTTAGAGCTGAGGCTTACGGTCTAGACTTGGGTTTACATCAAGCTTCAGCTTCGCAATATTTCAAGAGAAATCCTCCAAAATGAGCCGTGAGAAGCCAAAAGGCCAGCCCTCAGAAAAAAACCCTCTGAATCCCCCGAAAACACTACCCTAAAGCCTCTGAACCCCTAAACCCTAAACCCTAAACCCTAAACCCTAAACCCTAAACCCTAAACCCTAAAGCTTCTGCACCCCTAAACCCAGCTCTGGGGCCTTGTGCGCCCCAGGCCTCTTCATGGGGTTCACCCGGATGAAGGTCACCCAGAAGGCGCGATCCTCAGAAGCCCACGTTCCACCCTAGTATGGTGGCTCAGGGTTTAGGGTTTAGGGTTTAGGGTTTAGGGTTTAGGGTTTAGGGTTTAGGGTTTAAGGCCTGGGGTTTCTTTCGTACTTTGCTTGGGGAGTGGGGCGGAGGGAGGACGGGGGTAGGGTTCAGCATTTAGGGTTTTGGGGTTTTTAGGGAGAAAGGGCTTACGTGTTTAGGATGTAGGGTTTAGAGGGTATATAGAGGGTTAGGGGTTGGGGCTCAGCATTTCTAACTGGTTGATTGGAAGTATCTAGACGGTTGGGGTTTTAGGGTTCAGGCCTAGGTCGGGAAGAGGGAGCCCTCTTAGGTTTAGGGTTTAGGATCTAGGGTTTAGGGTTTTTTGGTTTAGGCTTAGGGTTTAGGGTTTCAGGCTTCAGGGTTTAGGCTTCAGGGTTTAGGGTTCCAGCGTCCCCGGTCTCCGAGCCCATGTCGCTGTCGATGTCACGTCCCGCCTGCAAGGGGCTCATGCAATTTTAGGTTTAGGGTTTGAGGTTTAGGGTTTAGGGTTTGGGGTCTAGTCTAGGGTTTTGGGTTTAGGGGTTTAGGGTGTACGGATTTGGGGTCTGGAGTTCGGGGCTTACTTGAGGGTTCATGGGTGGTGGTAACCAGACCTCAACTACAACAGCCCACGCATCTCCAAGTATGGCTTAGGGTTGAAGGCTAAGGGCTTGGGGTTCACGGTTTAGGGTTAGTTTAGGGTTTAAGGCTAGTTTAGGGTTTAGGGTTAGTTTAGGTTTCGGGTTTAAGGCTAAGGGTTCGGGGTTTACGGTTTAGGGTTAGCTTTGTCGGGCCTCCACTCGGTTCCGCGTCTTCTCCAGCTCGAAGCCTGTCGGCTTGTACCTCGGCTGCAGCCGGAAGCGCGCTGAAGCTTGCAGCTAGGAACCTTAAGCACTGAAGCCCTAAACATTCACCGGAAACCAAGCCGTAAACTCTATACCGCATAAGTCCAACTTCGGGTTTTTTTGGGGATCATGGACTTATAACTTATAACTTGTAACTTATGACTTATATAACATTTATAACCGATATAACTTATATAACTTATATAACTTATGTAACTTGTATAACTTATAAAACTCATATAGCTGATATAACTTATATAACTTATAAAACTTATAACTTCTACCGTATAACTTATAACTTATACTTGATAACTTAACTTACAACCTATAGCCCTGCATACAACGTGCCCATGAACCTTCAAGTAGAGCTTGTAGGGCTCGCGTTTCAAGGCTCAGATTTTGAGGCACCATCCCAAGGTGAGGGCCCCATGATTCTCGGTGTTTAAGGGTTTAGGGTTTGGGGGTTTGGGATTTGGGTTTAGGGTTTATGTTTAGGGTTGCGAGTTTAGGGCTTAAGGTTTAGGGAAGTCCTATAAACCGTTCTTCTTGGTGAAGTCACTGACTACTTGGAAGTCTCGGACTTCAGATCCATAAGGGCAGCTCTAACCCTAAGCTCTACTAAATCCTAAACCCTAGACCCTAAGCCCTCAACCCTAAGCCCTAAACCCTAGACCCTAGACCCCAAACCCGAAACCCTAATCCCTAAACCGAGGTTTTAGAATTGAAAGGGCTTAGGGCATGCACTTCAAGGGTGCCACGCAAGGATCTGCCGAAGCTGCCTTGGGAGTCCGTGCCTCCTTCCGCCTCCAAATAGCCCAATCTAGGAGGGTTTAGGGTTTAGGGTTTAGGGCTTTATATACCCTAAACCCCAAAAGAGGCCGACCTCGTCCCAAGGCTCCACATAGCCCGAAGAAGGTATAGTTTACCGACTTCCCCAATGTAGGCATCATTTATATACTTGCAGCCCTAGGTTTTGTCAAAATCTCCACCACCCAAGCTCTGCGTCTCGATCATTAGACCCTGAACCCTGAACCCTGAACCCTGAACCCTGAGCCCTTAACCCTAAACCCCTAACCCCTAACCCCTAACCCGTAAACCCTAAACCCTAAACCCTAAGCTGCCAAGCTCTTGACTTTGCCACCGCGATGCAGAGCTGGCCTGCGGCCATCGTGCAGGGATGCCTCCGCGGCCGGCCTGGTGAGCTTCACCACCTGGAAAGGCAAAGTTTAGGGTTTAGGGTTTAGGGTTTAGGGTTTCGGGTTTAGGGCTTAGGGAAGCTGAAGAAATCCAGAGAGCCCAATGCCCTTGCCCCCTGCCCCCGCTGCCCCCCCTCGTCCCTAAGCTTACTGGAAGTAAGACAGAAAAAACATCTCAATGTCAATTCAAATGGAGGTTTCCGAAACTAGGAGTACCTTCTGACGGGGTCTATAGATTAGGGGATCCTACTAGTTGGGAGTCTACATTTGGGGTCCCACATTTGCACATATCCGCATATTCGAATGCTGCGCGCCCGGCTCTGCTGAGGAGGGATGAAGGGGGCGGGGGAGGGGCGGGGGTAGCACCGTGTAAGCAACCACCGTGCGGCCTCGGTGTTTAGAACCGAAAGCCCAGCCAAGGGAAATCCTACTCTTAGTTGCTGAATTCATAAGCCCCAAAAAGTGTACACAAAAAGTGTGTAGTGTACTTACTCAGCTACTAAGTACTTTTTTTGGGGATCTATATCTATATCACGGGAACCCCCATGTATGTATGAGAAAACCCGACACCCAACCAAGGGCATAGATTGGGTGGCCAGGTTGGGAGGGAACGCGAGCCTGGGCGCAACCACAGCACAGCCTAAAGCCCAAAGCCCAAAGCCTAAAGCCTATAAAGCCTAAACCCAAAACCCAAAACCCTAAACCCGAAACCCTAAACCCGAACTACACCCCCAACCCCTGGACCTCATAAGCTCTTCAGCCGGAATGCTAAGCCTTTTTTAGCCAAAGGGGGGTTTAGGGTTTAGGGTTTAGGGGCTTAGGGGCTTAGGGGCTTAGGGGCTTAGGGGCTTAGGGTTTAGGGTTTAGGGTGCCTCGCCATGGAAGGGATCTATGGTCAGCCCATCATCTGCGGCCATGGCCCCAACGCACCGCGCGGGAGACGCAACTTTGGGCCCGGAGGCTTCTTAAGGTTTTAGGGTGTTAGGTGCTAGGGCTTTAGGGCTTTTACGGCTTTGGGGTTTTAGGGGTTAGGGCCATACATGGGAATCAGTAGGGTCACTGCACGTGTATCCGCCTCTGCTTCTAACACTCCAAGTAAGCCCTAGCCACCTAAAGCTTATAAAAAATGCCCTCCCGCAAATCTACATGAGTAACCCAAACCCCCAAAGTCTAAGCGGGTTTGGGGTTTAGGGTTGAGGATTTGGGCCTACAAACCCTAAACCCCCCCGTCTACTGATACTCCGGCTGCCAGCCCACAGGGCGCCAGAAAACCCAGGCTTCAAGGCGAAAGCTTCGAAAAAAACATCAAGAGGCTTTCCAAGGTTAGCTACCAAGTTTAGTGTTTGGGGTTTGAGGTTTAGGGTTTAGGGTTTGGGGTTTGGGGTTTGGGGTTTGGGGTTTGGGGTTTGGGTTTGAGGTTTGGGGTTTAGGGTTTTGACAAGGGCTTCAGGCTGTAGGGTTCAGGGTTCTAGGGCTTAGATTCAGTCTTTCGGGGTCAGCTGGTGCAGGCGGGTTCGTGGCGGTGGCTTTCAGGAGCTGGGCAAAGCAAGCTGGGGCAGAAGGATTCGAAAACCATCAACCCTAAGCTCGAACACCATCAGCCCTACGCTCTAACCTTCAACAGGGGTTCCTTAGTAGGGATGCTAATAGGGGGTACATTATCCCTATAAAGGACTGTAAGTGTAAGGGGAACATCTTAACTCTAAGCCCCCAACCCCTCAGCTTTTCTCAGCTGCCAGGGGCCCCAAAGCCTCAACCCTGCCGTTCACAAACAGATGGGGCGTGCAAACAGCAGACCACTCACTTTGCTATACTTAGCAAGGGATATGAACATCGATTCCACAATGGGGCACCAGTTCAGTTCAAGAAATCCAGTGTGTGTTTGGGCTCTGATAATTTGCTAATTATAGGTACAGCCAACTGACATCAGAACACTCTGCGGACGCCGAGGCTCACATCATCTGATACCCTAAGGGTTTAGGGTTTAGGGTTTAGGGTTTAGGGTTTAGGGTTTAGGGTTTAGGGTAAGCCCCGCAAAAGTGGGCAACAGAAGCAGACGCTCAAGATCTTTTGTATCCATGGCATGCGCCAGCGCGCCTGCACCGAGCCGCAATCAGCAGCTGCGGGTTGTTCTCAGTTAGGGTTTTGGGTTTTACGCTTCAGGGTTTAAATACCTTTTTCACAGTATTTCTCTTTGAGAAAGAAGGTACCCCCCCCCCCAATAAAAAGACCCTAACGAAGACTTAGTTGCTGAGGCAATAAGGCCCCAAGAAGTGTACACTTTCAGTTCCATAGGGGATTATAGTATCCCAAAAAATGTAAAGTGTACTCATTCAGCTACTAACCCTAAACCCTAAACCCTAAACTTAACCCTTAAAGTGTACTCATTAAACTACTAACTACGAGCAACCCCCAACTGAGGATTTCTGAAATCTTGGGTGCCCGCAGAATTTCGAGCCTCGGAAGCTCTTAGCTGCGAATCCTCGTGGCCCCCCTCCGCCTGGCAGTTTAGGCTTTAGGGTTTAGGGTTTAGGGTTTGGGGTTTGGGGTTTGGGGTTTGGGGTTTATTCTAGTATGGCTGAAGGGTGCAGGTTAGGGTTGAAGGTTTTGGGGCTTAGGGTTTTAGGGGCTGTCTCCAATAACCAAGGAATTCAAGGGTTAAACTCTCTTATTCCTACTTAAGAAGGAAGCCAAAAAGTTCAAAGTTCAACTATTGGCTGAGTTAGGGCTTAGGGCTTAGGGTTGGGGTTTAGGGGTAGCCCCAAAGTTGAGGGAGTTGGCTCGGGGCGCATCACCGAGCTACAGCCACATGGTTTTGACCTGTTTCTAAGGCCTCTGTCAGAATTCGGAGTTAATGGGGTTTTATGGTTTCGGGTTTAAGGCAGGGGCTGTAGGGGTTTGACAAGATGTTGGGGTTTAGGTCAGGAATGAATTTTGGCGGGTAGGGGTTTGGATGTTCACACTTATACTACAAGTCCTTAATAGGTATTACAGTATCCCCTATTTCAATCCCGATGAAGGACTGTCAGGAAAGGAAAACATCCCACGTTTAAGGTTTAGGGAGTAGGGTTCGAGAGCTGTATGCAAATAAGGCAGTTGCTCCGTTCCCACCATATCCCCTTTGTAGTAAACTCGAAGCAGCCCTTCTTCCAGGACCTTTAGCCCCCCCCCCCCCCCCCCCCCCCCCCCCCTGTCGACGTAGGGTTTAGGCTAAACACCACCCCCCCCCCCCCCCCCCCCCCCTCCCCCCACCGAATTGTCGGAAACCCTAAGGCCCGAAGCCCCAACCCCCCAAACCCTTTAAACAAACTTATGGCAAGGCCCCTGGCTGCAACTAGGACTTGGGGTTTAGGGTTTAGGGTAACAATATTCCCAAAATAAGGTAGTCAGGTGGTCCTAAACCCCAATACGGGACATCACAAAGTGTCCCAAGGCCCTACCTACGACTTCGTCGGTCAGGTTCGAACCCTAAACCGGCATCGACACCTTAGCCCCCCGAAATAGCCTGAGCCCTCTACTGTAGGGTCCAGAGTGAGGGTTCAGGGCCCAAACCCTACAAACCCCAAGCCTGGTCTCAGCGGCAGTTGCTCGCGTTTGCGGAGGGTTCAGGGGCTTCGGGTTTGTATGGTTTTAGGGCTTAGGGCTTAGAGTTTTGGGTGACTTTGGGTCCCTTAATATAGAACTTTAAGCCCAGGTACTACGAAGTTAAGGGCCTGAGATGCGAAACTGGGTTTCGGGTAGGGGTTTAGGGTTTAGGGGCTTCACCAGGAACCTGGAAAATGAAAGTTGAAGGTGTTGGGTTTCAAGGCTTCAAAAACCCTGAACTGAGGGAATGCAGGTACTATACTGGAAGCCTTTTGAAGGGACGGCCACAAGGCAAGCGCAAAGCAACCAGCAGTGTCCGACGTTCGCGCAGCTATGCCCCCCAGCGTGGCCCCGGAAAAGGTGAGGTTTGGGGTGTGATTGGCCTAAAACCTAAACCCTAAGGGTTTAGAGTTCAAGGCTTAGGGACTTAGGCTTATCGACTGCAAGGGAGGGCTTAAGGCAGGGTCTTGAGGGGGCTGACGGTTTAGGATCCTTCTCATCCTCTGTTTGTAAGGGTGCCATACGATAGCATAAGCACCCGTAAAAGGGAACCCGAAGGAAGCCGAAGATAAAGAGGTTAAGAACTATGAATTGGGATGTTGCCCCTTATGCTAACAATCCTTAATAGGGATTATAACTGGGGGGGACTGTAATCCCTATTAAGGACTGTTAGTACAAAGGGGGAACATCCCAAACTGTGGACTGAAGGATCGAAAACAAGGTTTTTTAGGTGTGTGGGACTTAGAGTTTAGGGTTTAGGGCTTAGGGTTTAGGGCTTAGGGATTAGGGTTTAGGGTTTAGGGTTTAGGGTTTGGGGTTTGGGGGGGGCATAGGGTTTGGGGCCTCGGGGGCTTGGGATGCGGAATTTGAAGAACTCAGGTTTGCCAGCTTATGTTGGCATTACGGGCTTCTAGGGCTGAGGGCCTTAAACCCTAAACCCTAAACCCTAAACCCTAAACCCTAAACCCTAAACCCTAAACCCTAAACCCTAAACCCTAAAGTCTGGTCGGAAACAAAAGGAGAGCCCGACGCCATGGTGGCGACTGGCGACTGGGGGACCTAGCGAGCAGCCAAAACTGAAGCAACACCACGCCGGCCGTGCCTGCGCACTTTCTGAGGGTCTTCAGTAGGGTTTAGGGTTTAGGGCTTAGGGTTTAGGGTTTGGGGTTCAGGGTTTAGGGTTTAGGGTTTAGGGTTTATTCTTTCTGAGAGTTTCGGTTTTTTAAAGGGTTGGTCCAGGTTTAAGGGTTTGGGGGGGGGCCAAAGGCAAACGTTTGCCCAAAAGGGAACTTGCATGTATAGTGAACGAAAATCATGGGCCCCTGCAACCAAGGTAGCTAACAATCTATTTCGTGATATCCTTGTTTACCAAGTGCGCTCTCAACCCTACCCATATTGCTACCTATGGCCCTGCAGGGACTCCGTAAACCCGAAACCCCACACCCTAAACCCCAAACCCTAAACCCCAAACCCTAAGCCCTAAACCCCAAACCCTAAACCCCAAACCCTACACCCTAAACCCCAAACCCTAAACTCCAAACCCCAAACCCTAAACCGCAGGAAGGGATCAGTTCGGGCTCAGGGTGGATACAGGATCTCGGGGCCGGTAGAAGCTCTGCCTACTGGCAGGTCTGCACCCTACTGCCCTCGACTGGGAGGTTCAGAGGTAGTTGCAAAGTAGGGTTTAAGGAGCGTTCTAGGGTCTAGGGTTTAGGGTGAGAAGGTTACATGCAGTGTGGGTGTACAAGGGTTCTGGAAATTACTGCCCATGAACCTCCGAGTAGAACTGAGCCAGCGAAGCACTGTCAGACTCACTTGAAACCGCAGCGGGCGAGCGTTCGGATTCCACGTCTCAGGCTGCGGATCACTCCTGTCACGGAGGAGATGGTTAAGGCGGCAAATCATGCAGCCATGAACCTTGGCTTAGGGTTTATAGGGTGTAGGGTTTAGGGTTTACGGTGCAACCAGCCATGAACCCTGAACCCTGAACCCTAAATCCTAACTATCCCCACAGTTATATAACATCAGGGATCAACGATGAACCCTAAGCCTACCCAGTGAACGAGAGGCATGGGTGGGCAGACGGCTTTGCTACCGAATATTTAGGCTTTAGGGTTAGCTTCCCACAAAATAAGGTCATTGTTTCTTTAGTGGGGGGGGGGGGGTAATCATGAACCCTAAGCGATTCCACTCTATTTGGGGACGAAGGGTGACCCGAACCTTTCGAGACTCTCGGGTTGGGGTTCAGGGTTTCGGGTACATTTGGGGTACCCTTTTGGCGGGTGGAGCGGGAGCCCCTCTGAAGCAAGCGCTTCCCCTCTACATTCTACAG